GGAGGGCACACTGTGTGTGCATCCCTAGCTGCCTTAGCCACTCCCCACCTCCTCTGTCTAAACTTGCTCTGAGTTCTGTTAAATTCCCTCACTCAAGCTGTCTTTTAAATGAGAATCTCCATCCTTTCAGTTAAAGTTGGAGTGGTGTCACTTACTTAAACACCACTGCTGTTGGAAGGGCAGAAATTCAACCTTTATCAGTCACTAAGACATTCATGGTGAAGCATTTGTTTGGTATGTGTAGCCAGTAAGCAACTTGCCAAGACTATGTTTTATTGTAGAAAGCAGGGGGATCAGGTCCAGGTTGGTGGTCACATCACATGATTTGCCTGTGACAGACTCTGGTGGGCATGTGTGCCTATTCTCAGCCTTGGGTTACAGATTTTCTGTGTCAGTGCCTTAAACACAGTGATGACATACCTCCTAATCATCGCTGTGGCAGCAGGCGTGCTCAGACTGGCTGTGCTAAGTCATCTCAGAGACTGGTCTAGAGGATGAGCTTCAGTCCCACTCAGCAGAGCAGGACTCCTGTGACTCTATAGTGGATGATACACAGGTGGGAGTCATCCTGTGAGCCTTGTGGAAAGCTGTACCCTCTAGTTTGGTTTCCTTTTTTCTATAAGTGTATAAATCTTTTATTTGGATGGATTGGTTACCTAGGCAACAGCTGCAGGGTAAAGATAGATTAGCTGCTTGGGGAATGCAGTTACAGGCGCCTTCAAAAGGCAAAAACTTGTTTAAAACAGAAATTAGTGAATGGTTGGGCCTTTGCTTTACCAGGTGTACCGCAAGAAGCCACACTGAACAACAGTTTTTAAAGAGAACCTCTGGAATGTGGTGTGGTTCTAATGTAATCCATTTGATTCCTGCTGTGTACCCATTGCTACAGTTCATTTGATGGTTTCCCAATGAAGTTCAAAGTATAGTTCCCCCCCCCCAAAGATGACATTCTGGTTTTCTGTTTGTTTGTTTGTTTGTGGGGGTTTTTGTTTGGCTTGGTTTTTTGGTCTTTCAAGATAGGATTTCTCAGTGTAGCCCTGGCTGTCCTGGAACTCACTTTGCAAGTTAGGCTGGCCTCAAACTCAGAGATCTGCCTGCCTCTGCTTCCTGAAGGCTGGAATTTAAGGCATGCACCACCGTGCCCAGCTGTGTTCTGTTATTTTTTTAATCCCCACTTCTGAGGTTAGAAGATCCCTGGGTTCAGTATCCAGCACCACCATTACCCCCAAAGCTACTTTTAACAGCAGCTGTGTGACTGTGATGCAGACAAAATGTGTTAGAAAATCTAGAGGCAGTAAAAGATGGTCCAGAGATAATTCATTGAAATAAAGATAAAATGTAAAGGCCTGAACTCGGGAGGCAGAGGCAATCGGATCTCTGAGTTCGAGATCAGCCTGGTCTACCAGAGCTAGTTTCAGAGTTCCAGGACAATCTTCAAAGCCATGGGAAAACCCTGTCTTGGAAAATCACACACACACACACACACACAAAATTAAAGGCCTGTTCAAAGTGCTCACACTAACAAAATCTAAATCCCCAAGCAATTGACTGTGCAGACTCTCTCAATTAGCCCATAGACTACGTGTGACTGTATCATAAATTCATAAATGCTATTGAATTACAGTCTTACTCCAGATGGCTAAGTATAACATTGGCTGACCACTGTTGACACTAACCCTTCTCTATTTGAGGAAAATTTGTTTTCACTGTAAGCAGGAGGGAATTGTTTTGGGAATCTCACTGCTCTAACAGCCAGGCATTTGGGAGCCTTTCAGTAATTCTCTGCGGATGTTAGTGATTGAACTTGGGGCCTCGTGTATTTGAGTAGACACCACTACTGCAAACCCAGCACACACCAAAATATGTGTATTAGTGTTCTTTTGTGCAGCATACCCTCTAATTGCCAATTAAAATTAGCTGACCTTCCTTTCAGAGCTGCTACGGGGCAGAGTGAACGACATTATTGTAAATGTTTGCTTGCTTTACCAATCTGCTCCCCTTTAGAGGTGCTAAGTATTCAGTCTTGCTTTGTTGTGATAAGGAATGTTAAGAGATACAGGTGCAGAACCTCTCTACAGCTGAACATTCATCATGGTTTCTCCAGTTTGCATGTAACTGTCATTTTTATTTTCTTGCTTGTTCTGTTCCTGTTTATTTGCTGTGGTTTACTAGACAGGAGAGATGACAAAATGAAGTCTTACTCTGACAATTGGAGGGCACATTAGGCATCCTCGCCCTGTCCTTAACCAGAGTTAGAGGGGGAACATGAGGGTACTCAAAAATATTCTCAAGGAGAAAGCTTTCAATCTAATGCATTGGACAAGATTTTAATATTTGGATGCACAAGATAATCCTCAGTGCTGATCTTGTCAGTAGATGTGGAGAGTTGCCAGTCAAGCTTCCTTTGTATGTTGAATTGTGGAGACAGTTGCCTCCATAATAGAAATCCACAGTGTTGCATTTTGTGCAAGTGTCTTTCATCATTACAGTTCACCTTTTATAAATGGAACCACCACTACAAGAGTGTAGTTTTTTAGAAGTCTTTTTGCTGAATGATTGGGAGTGGTTTCCTGTTAGGAGTTGGTGGGCACAGCTTTGAATGTCTTCTTTATTTCCAGAATTACAATATAATGCTTTGTCAATGTGATTTATTCAGTGTAAACTTGTACTGTTTAAGAAGTCAAGTAACACCCTCTAGGTTCCACTCCTCAGTTGGTGACATAAGGAGGCAGTACTGTAAAGGTTTGCTCAATTTGTTCTCTGTGCTGCCTGTGACAGTCCTCATATTGTGTCTGTGTTGCTTGCACCTGTCCAGGAATCATCAGATGGACCTAATTGAAATTGATTTAAAAGAAAAAGCACAACTTATCTTCTCAGAGGACTGACCAGTTAGAATTAGCATTGGAGGATTCTGGTGTCTTGCTGGCTGGCCATAGCCTAGCTGAATTTGAATGCCTCAGGGAGAGCTCCTGTCTTAAAAAACACTTGCAAACTCACATGCATCATTCCCATACCATGCACATGATTAAAATAAAACAAAACAAAACAAACACTAAAATAGATTAGAAAAGAAAAGTGCTTTCAAAACTGAGTTATGGAGGGTGGAGAGATGGCTCAGCAGTTAAGAAGCACTGGTTGTTCTTCCAGAGGTCTTGAGTTCAAGTCCCAGCAACCAAACGATGGCGCACAAACATCTGAAATGGGATCACATGCTCTCTTCTGGCATAAAGGCATATATGTATAACACTCATCTACAGAATATGTGTGTGTGTGTGTGTGTGTGTGTGTGTGTGTGTGTGTGTGTGTGTGTGTGTGTGTCTTTGTAGGAATGAGTGCAGTTATCCACAGAGGTCAGAAGAGAAGCTGGAGTTACACCTAGTTGTGAGCCACCCTACAGTAGGTGCTGGGAACTAAACTTGGGTTCTCTGTAAGAGCAGTGTGCTTTTGACTATTGAGCCCTCTCTCCAGCTCATTTCTCTTTCTTTTTAACACATTTTATTTCTATAACTGGATTGATGGAAAAATCCAAGTTGAACAAAGCACTTCTTCCTAAGAAGCTTACCTACCCACCTACTCTGTACAGACAGACCCAGTGCCACCCCCCCACCCCATCTCCTCACCCCACCCCCACCCCCGCTGCTCCCATTTTGAGGACTGTCCAAAAGAAGGCCCTGTTCCTGGCAGGTGCTGTGATTCTGAGGGAGTGCCGATGTGGACCAGGGGGAGGGCAGTACTCATATTGGAAACAAAAGGCCAGCCAAGAAAGATACCCCCTCTCCAGAAGGAGTCAGGAATGTGCTGTTGTCCCGCTGGCCGTGACTCTTCAGGTTTACACTTTTGTTTTGGTAGCTGCTCCCTATTTGCAGTCACTCTTACAGAGTGGACAGCTTTTATTTGAAAGAAAATTTTAATTCTTTGTGTGGAAAAAGAGAAAATAGTCTTTTACCTTCCTAACCTTGGTTTCTCTGAAATAATTCACACCAAATAGCACTTGGTGCTTCGCAGAAATCAATTCACTTATCTGAATCGGAGGGAACAGTAAGAGGGCTCATGGGTAAAGCTTCTGCCCACAAACCCAACCACGTGAGTGTGGTCCCCTGAACCCAGGTAAATAGAAAGGAGTACCAACTCCACAAAGCCTTTCTCAGCCTCCCTGCCGTGCGCGCACACACACACACACACACACACACACACACATCTCAGACTGCCCTGCAGATTAATAATAACAAGTAATAATAGTAATAATAGAGTTTTTAAAAGTTATTGACGGTGGGGTATTTTACAGCTTGCTGTTGTAACTTTTGTTTTCCTATTGACACATGCCAATAAAGGTGCAGCAATGCCAACTCTTGTATAATAATAAAAATAATGAGTCAGATCTTTTACTTTTATAACATTCACTTTAACATTTAATGCATTACTTAGTTTTAGATATTATCCTTAGGTATATTTCAAATTTGTGTTTAGTTTCCTATATATACTTCCTCCTCGGCCAAAATAAAGTACTATACAGTGAGTCTTGAATCCAGAAAGAGAAAAATCCAGTTCTTGCTGCCAGTGTGCAAGCTCAAGAAGGGCAGGGGCCTCAACCAGCAACTTTGCTGATGTTTCCCTGGAACCCAGACCAGTACTTTACACAAGTACTCTGAAAAAACATTAAGAAAGGAGTCTCCTGATGGTGTCCAGTTAGCCTGGACTATGGTCTAGTTTCTGTGAAAAAAACTGTCATGACTGAAAAAAATGCATTTGTTCAATAAATGGCTGAATTAATTAACTATCTTTATGGTTCTTGGGGCGTGTTTTTGTTGCTTATGTTCATTTCTACATTAATCCAAGAATTGTCACATTATAAACAGCATCAGACTGCTGAAGAGAACTCCCTAATTAAATGCTTGGACTACCCACACAGATATCAACAAGATTTAATGAAAGAGGTTTTGTGTATATTTCCCGTGTGTGCCAGACCTACTAAACTGTTCCCCACCTTTGCATCTTCCCAGGAGCACTCACTGTGGGCCTAGTGCGACAGTGTCAAACAATCCATGGACGAGACCGGACCTGCATCCCTCCTCGGCTTCCCCCAGAGTGGGTCACCACCCTGTTTTTTATCATCATGGGAATTATTTCCTTGACTGTCACATGTGGTTTGCTGGTGGCTTCCCACTGGCGAAGAGAAGCTACAAAATATGCTCGATGGATAGCATTCACTGGAAGTAAGTAGCCCGTGCTTCCTAAGTTGGTCTAGAAGGCACACAGTGGCGTTTTTACGAAGATTATCAAGATCAGTCCTAAGGACTCGGTAAATCTCCCTGGAGCACCACTCACGTGGCCCTGAGATAGATCGCACAGTCCCATCAGCTCTTCAGCATTGTCGATGCAGGACCAGGACACCCACAGCTGTCATTGCTTTGTGCGAATGCTCTTTTAATGAGGTGTATTTTTACTCTCTGTAACATAAGGGTTTCAGGTTTATGATTCTGAGCTACCACTAGCCCAAGTGGCTTCCACTTCATGAAGGTACCGGTATCCTCTATCAAAATAAAGATAAATCTAGGAAAATATATAATTTAGATGGAGGCGATGATTTGCTTTTTAATATCGTTAATTTTTGTTTCTGCTGGGTTTGAATGACCATTGAAAAATCAACACGTTTAGTTTTTAGTAATTGTTTGTCAAAGTTTCTTATTCTACTAAGCTGTTCCCAGTGGTGTTATGAATTTACAAATTATATATAATATTAACTTGTAATTTGCAAAATTGGTTTAATTGCTGAACACTTTAGACTTATCCTAAGTTTAAGGAGAACAAATATACACACACAAACATTTCTGTAATTCTGTTTTCTTTGTCTCTAAAATAATTTTTTTTTTAACCACAGGATATTTTTGGCAATATTTGAAAACATTTTTTTGTAATCACAACTAGGGATATGCTGCTGGTAGCTAGTGAGCAGAGGCCAGGCATGCTGCTAAACATCTCCCACAGAGAGTACTGTCTAGTGCGAAGTAGCCATGGTCACTGGGCTGCAGTCATGGGATGAAGACGTGGGCTCTGTGCGGTGCCATAGACTCATCTCAGGTTGCATACATCTCCAAAGATAGTTTTAACACAACTATTTCTGCTTAATGTTTTTATTTATAACTATTATAAAGAGTAAAGGATAATCTCAAGTATCTCTGTTAACATTAAAACTCAGTTTAGCTCAGCTAGAGATGTAGCTGGGTTAGAGCACTGCCTGGTGGTATGTGAAGGCCTTGGGTGCTGTCCCTCCCACCAGAGGACAGTCCAGCTAAGACAACTCATTATGTCTTAAAGGCTGAGGGTAGCCCCTGTCTCTCCAGCTTTCTGTGGAACTCTGTTTCTGACTTTGTTATTCTTGTCTACACATCTCCCCAACTGTTAGAATCTAAATCAAGTTGCTTTTGAGGTAAGCGACTCCTCCTCACCCTCAATAAACAGTGAGAAACAAACTCATGCTGTTTTTTTGTCAGACACCTGAGACAACTCTTTTCCAGAGAGTGAGGGCCAGAGGCAGATACAGAGATAAGGCCACTAACTGACAGCATATTGATAAGGAACTTAAAGAGAACCTAATTTTGTATCTTTACTTACAGACACAGTCATTTATCTAGGTATGATTGATTTGCTCACTAATGAGTAAAATAATATCAAAGACCAAACAATCTAAACTATAATGTAACAATCTTACGTTAGGCAAGGACAACAGTAAGATACTCACAGAAGCCAGGAAAGGAAGGGGACTAGGGTTTATCTCTGTTTTTCATTCCCCTTCAACAAAAAAAGTCTTTGTGTACAGTTGACTCCCAAGTACAATGTGTTTGCCTTTATTTTTGAGATTGTATGCACGTATGATAGTGATTCAAGTCTAGGGGTGGGTAACCAAGTGAAGTCCCACTCATTCCTGTCACCAACCCCCAGAAGCTCTTTGCTGGAGGGAGGCCCTTGCTATGGTTGGCAGTTTCTAAAGAGTAATGTTATATGCATAGAAATCCATATCTACTCTAAAAATACATACTTATATAAAAGTGTCTCTATTCTGCACCTCTATTCTTTCACTTAAAATGGCTTGGAGTAAAATTTTAAAATTTTAAATTGACATTTAGTCTGTGCTTGCTGGCTGGTGGCTGGGGAGCAGTTCAGGGGGAAACTGAGCTCCCCCTAATGGATCAGCCCTGAAGATGTATTTGAACCATGCTGTATGTAGAGTTTGAGTTTATTTATTTATTTTCTTGTTTGTTTTGTTTATTTATTTATTTTTTGAGGCAGGATTTCTCTGTGTAGCCCTGGCTGTCCTAGAACTCACTTTGTAGACCAGGCTGGCCTAGAACTCACAAAGATCCACCTGCCTCTGCCTCCCAAGTCCTAGGATTAAAGGCGTGAGCCACCACTGCCCAGGCATATATCTAGTTCTTTCATTAGTTAGGTAGTGGTTTTTGTAATAATGTGAGAGTAACTTTCTAGTGACAGGTCCTCAGTCAGGAGAGCCCCATATGATGAGACTTGCTGTGGGGACAAGAGAAACAAGAAATAAGTCTATTATTTTATCACTGAGTGTGTGTGTGTGTGTGGTGTGTGTGTGTGTGTGTGTGTGTGTGTGTGTGTGTGTGTGTCCCCACAAGTGAGTGTGTTCTCATATGGAAGCCAAAAGTTGGTATCAGGTATCCTCCCTGTCACTCTCCACCATAATTTTTGAGACAAGGTCTCTCACTAAACTTGACCATTTGGCTAGACAGGACACAAGGAAGCCCTGGAGGTCCGTCTGTCTCCACCAACCGCCTGCCATGCCCAGCTTGTGCTGGGGTCTGAACTCATGCCTCTCACTCGCTTGCACAGCTGGTATTTTTCCTGCTGAGCCCTTTGCAGCGCCCCCTTCACCACTCTCGGCTTATAGCCTCATGTCATGCTACTCCTGTTGTCACTACCAACAAGTCTGTGCTGTGGTGGAGATGATGCTGTCTTTACAAGCTTACTTGGGACCAGAGTTTGATATTCACATGTGATAGTTGTTATAAACACAAATGATGATCTAAGAGCTGAAGTAGCTTCACAGTTTTCAATAGCTTAAAACAAAAACTCCTCCATCCACATAAATCTGGACCCTAGAAAGTATAGAGAATCAGAATTCTAGGCCTTAAAATCAAAACTGATTTTTTTTCTCTAATTTTGTTGAGCTTTTCCTAACTAGTTTGAAAAATATTGTTCAAAATATTAACTATAATTGTAGTATTTATTGTCATTATAAAGGACAGAATTTTTTCAGTAGCGAAAATTTGCATATTAACACAAACAAATGAGTATATACTACTAAAATGCTTCTGAATTATTTTATTGTTTCCTAAGTTACTCGATATCAGAGGGGGAAAAATGTTTTAAGAATAATCTTGCCCCTAATGGACCTGTGTTTGTGTGTGTGTTTACACACATTGTGTTGACACAGGGCCTCATGTTTGTAGCCCAAGCTAGCCTACTGCTTGAGATCTTCTTGCCTACATCCCCCAAGACCTGCAATTGGTTCACATACACCTTATTCATCCCCAGTGGTCATATTAGACTGGTTTCACCCACTCATCCACACTGATAAGTAGATGTTTACAGCACATCTAAAATTGTTGATTGCTAGTCAAAAAGACCCAAACCCTAATGAATTCTGATGCCTAAATTTCTCATTTGTAGGTGTCACAAAGAATTCAGATTTGCTTGTATGATATTGTTTTGTATAGTCATTTGTCTAAAATAAACTAGATTTTCTGTCTATGTAATATATAATAATCTACCAGAATGATAGAGCACAAAAAATACTGATATGTTTCTTAAGTGATATATTACATAAGCAAATGTTACCATTTAATGTGTTGTTGTTAATCCATCCAGGAAATGATTGCATTAAGTTGATTGATTGACCCACCCAGAAAATTTTAGACCTGTTAGCAACTGATAATTTATCCAGGGTTGTCTTGATATTCCTGGGTATAGTTTTGTCTTGGGAAAGGTTTCTCATTTTGTTAATTACAGAAAGTTCCAGATCTTCATACCCAGCAGCTAGTTCATCTATCTTCACAAAAAGGTTTCTGCCCCAAGAAATGCAAGGGACCATGAGCACTTGACCTTCGAGAAACAAAAATAATTTCTCAGGAAGGCTGGCCTTGCTGTGGGTAATTTATGCTTTTCTGGGAAAAGCATTTCTTTGGTAGCACGGGGAATACACTGCTTGGTAAAAGACTAGGCAGGTATTAATTCTTCCCTGACACTGGGTTTTCTGGTAATCTTTCTAGAAACATTTAGTGAAAAATATATTTCATTGTGTTTATATATGAAACCCAAAGGAAGTTTCTTGCCCTTCCTCACTTTGTTGCCTGTATGTTCAGAACCTGATAGAGGAGTTACTGTTCTGGAACTTATCCATGAGAGATAACCACTCTGACAGTTTGCTAACCATCCCAGAGATCTGATGATCTTTCTCCAGCTGATTGAAAATCAGAGTAAGAGAAGTAGTTCTTATGTTTATGTACCTTTGTCCTAGGATTCCTCTACCACTATGAGGGGAGCTAGCAGTAAGAGCTGTGATGTAATAGCGACAGTGTCTACTTAGCACTCTGTCAGCCTGACACTTTGCTAGAGACTTGACGTGTCTCATTTATAGTTAGTATTTCTCCTATTTTCTCTTATTTTAAGAAAGGAAACAGACCAGCTAATAAATATTAGGGCCAGAACATCACCCCTAACTCTGCCCTTAATTACTAAATGGTACACACACACACACACACACACACACACACAGAGTTCATGATTCAAAATCATCTAAAGACTTGTGTAAAGAACTGTAGCTCAGTTTCCAATGTGTTTGGTTTGTTAGCTTGGGGGAATTGTATCTTTTGACAAGGGGTCCATGTTTTCACTGGTTTGACCTTGTTATCCACAGACCCTCATATAAATTGCTTTGTACCAAATTTTCATTGTTGTTTTTGTTTTTTTTTTTCCATCACCAAAGCATGTTACTAATGTTGTGTTTTGGTTTGTTTTACAGTGATCCTTTTCTGTATGGCTGCCCTAATATTTCCAATAGGATTTTACATCAATGAAGTCGGAGGTCAACCTTATAAGTTACCCAACAACACAGTAGTTGGGTCATCATATGTACTTTTTGTCTTATCGATTTTCTTCACAATAGTAGGACTTCTCTTTGCTGGCAAAGTCTGTTTACCAGGCTGACAAATGTCTAAATGGCTTAACTTGTTTTTATTTTTTAATTTTTTTATTTTTAGAGGTTGGGAGGACAGAGAGAAGTCATCTGGGCAGTCCTCTCATAGGAAGATGCTTAGATGAACGTGATGCCGAAAAGGAAATTTGTTGTTTTTTTGTTTTTTGTTTTTATTTAGAGGTTGGGAGGACAGAGAGAAGTCATCTGGGCAGTTCTCTCATAGGAAGATGCTTAGATGAACATGATGCCGAAAAGGAAAATGTTTTGATTTGTTCTCACTATGCACTTTGGATTTAAAAAAAAAAAAAAAAAAAGAATGAGAGCCTTTTCCATAACCAAATACAATATTGACTAAATCTCCTGAGCATATTCAGGCAGTCAGTCTGCACTGTGATAGCAACCTAGTGAAGGAGAGTGCTTTATACTGAAAGCATGTGACCCCTTGTGACTCTGTTGATTTGTTTTTAATGTCTAATGATTCATTTGGGGTGGGGGGGAGTCTAGTATTTATGAATCACGATGGACCAGAGGGGTGCAGGAGGTTCGTGTGGGGCTGGCCTCACCTCCTAAGACGTTAGTGTTCTCAACTTCTTTGTCATGTTATGAGCCTTTGGCACCACAATGGATTGCCATTGCATTACTGCACCGAGAAGCCAATAGATCAAAACTTGTTTGCTAAAAATGTATGTAAAAATTCTAAAACTCCCTAATCTCCATGTACAAAAGAAAAAAGAAAACACTAAGAAACAAGTTTGGGGTGGGTGGGGGAAATCTTCCTTATATTTATATAAATATATATAATATATATATTTTGCTGATGCAGTATACAGTGTGTATATGTGTGTGTGTGTATGTGTGTGTACATTTATATATACACACATGCAAACAGTTCCTGGAAGAGAACTCTGAATGCTTGCTAGCAAAACACTGTGGTGTGCAACCTAGAACTCAATAGAAAAAAGCCATTTATCTGAAGGCTGCATAGTGGAGAGAGTCTTCAGTTTACCTCATTCTTTGTAGTAGCCCTTGATTTTGACAGGTTTCTGTAATAGGTACAAATAACTCCATACCTTTCTAGGTGCAATTTTAAGTTAAGCTAAAGATCTTTCTAGGTTTAATTTATTTATATATGATAATAAAGAAGGTCATGTCAAACCTTGTAGGTTGGGGAATCTGACACTGTTGAAATGATTGGCAACTGTCATCTGTTGTATTAGAGATTTGGTTTTTTTCCACTGGCTCAGTCTTCTACATTAATAATGCATTGTGTGTGTTCAAGCACACAACTTCACATAAACACTTAAGTTCACTAGCAGATATCTAGCCATTTGGGCTATTTACAACACTAATTCTACTGTACCATAAAAATTCCATTTTATCTGTAAGCATTATTAATAACATCTTTGCCAAACACTTGAGCAATATGATACTTCCTTTTTATGCTTTACACCTTTGTTTGCTTGAAAAGCTAAATCCTTACCTTTGTTTTGAAGGCTGCATTAAACCCACAGCCTTAAGGTTTTTTTCTAGAAGCAGCGGTGCAGCCGACCCTGAACTCACACGTACTTTAAAACACAGTTCCTTCTCCACATTTCCATGCCTGTGTCAACACCTAGATTTTTTTCCTGGTAAACATTATATAATCCCATGTTAGAAGTTCATCACAATGGTGTTTCATGGCAGTGGAGCTGAGTTTGTCCTCTCTAGAGTGAATGGCAATGTCCCTGTTGGTAAGCAGAGTAGAGTCCCACACAGCCTGGGTTCATACAAGCATGAATGATTTCTAAGGAGCTTGATTGACTATTCTTCACCAAATGGTTACTTGGAGGTGGAGTTGCCTCCTCAGAGACTCTAGAACAGAGGTTTCGTTTACCTCCCACCTGCTTGTTACTCACCTGTCTCAGTATTCAGTTGTGAATGCAAATCCAGTGTTTGGGCTCACACAGGAACCCTGAAGGAGACCCTTCTGTGTGAGAACCCTGTAGTATATCAGAGGAAGGACATTTCCCACAAAGTGTTAATCCAGTCAGTTCTAAGGCCATCTCTAGACATGTTCTGTGGACATTGGAGACTGGGCTCTGATTGGTCCTCAGTCAAATGGGTCACTCTGAAGGAAAGCTTTTGTAGTTGGCATTATACCATAATATGAAGGCTTAGCAAAGTGTAACTCAAACTGACATGACCAAGAGCTTTTCTCTTTCAAAACATGGATTTTACTGTAAATAGTTTCTCAAGATATTTTTAACTGGATCATGAGCCTGGGGAGAGAAAGTTTCTCAGCTGCTATGAATTTCCCTGCTGTTTACTTCTCTCACTTACAGTGGTATTGCATATAAGATTACAAAATTTTAGGATTTATTTGTATCTATTACCCAAACCATTAAATTGTCTTTAATTTCATCATTGTCTTGGAGGACCAGTGCATGAAGAGCTAGTTCCTCTAGCCACTCAGCGCTCTAACCCAGGACTTAGACCATCCTATCGAGTAGTGTGTGAAGTCCCGTCTTTGTAAACTCTCCCAGACCAAATGTGTTGAAGTGGACTCATCTGTATACTCTGTCCTGGAAGTGGAAGGACACCCAGCTGCCAGCAGCTGCTGTTAAAAGGTCATAGCACAGTATTAATTTATAGCAGGAATCATATCTTGTAAAATGTATATAAAACACTTTTATGGTGCAATCATTTGTCAAATTTTTGTCTGTTACATTGTTCTTAGAGTGTACGTTCTTCTCATGCCTAAGAATATCACTGTAAAATCTGCTGAAAACTGTTCTTTAGGTTTTGTTTGCACAAGACTGAATTAGTTTGAGTTTTTGGGAAGCTCCTATTAAACAAGACTAAACATCTGTAAAGATAAAAAAAAAATCTTCAATTCATTAAAAGCCAACATTCAGTACAATTCTTTCCAAAGGTAATCCATGTTCTGTGTTGTTGATGTATGGGTGTGATAGCTCTGACTCTTCATCTCTCACAAACCTATTTTCTGTTCCATCTGTTTCGTTTTTTGAAAGATGCCTTTTTTTCCTTTGTAATGTTCTAGATGACCAAAACACATTGCTTTTTACCTTTTTGCCTACGGCTTTGATTTCTCTGTGTGGTGTTCTGTGAGGTCCTGTTTAATCTCTTCAGTGAGATAGCAAATAGCCCTGGTGACAGGCAATCTATTGCTTGAGAAGGAAGGTCCTGAAAAAAGTGTTGAAAACTGACTTTGGATCTATTCTTAGCTATGATTTTGCATCATGGGCTTCATTAGAAGAACATGTTGCATTTATTTTGTCTTTATTAAAAGACTACTAGTCACCAGTTACTCTGGTTATAGTAACTGTTTTATCAGCCCACTTTGATTTTCTTTTAAAAATTAAATTTACACTCAAGTCAAAACAGTAAGCTGTCTTTAAGAAAAATTTTGAAGGATAAAAATTTATGAAGGAAAAAGATGGTCTGTGTAGACTTACCTACACGGAGATTTTAGTTGTATTGCCTTGAGAGGTTTTAGTTTGTGGGTCAAGGTCTGTATATTATCCCAACTTTATTAAGAATTGTTTTCTAATTGGTTATAACATTTTTCAATTAATAGTTTCAAAACAAATTGTTAATACACAACTGTATAAAGTGAACATAATTTTCTTCACTTGTATTTTTGTTATTGAGCAAGTTTATCAAAATAAATTGTCTACTAAAGAAACTAAAAAGGCTTCTATTACTTTTAATAAGCTTTGATTTTAAATGTTTATTTCTAGAGATACAGCTCTCCCAGGCTGTGTTCATTCCCCAGCACTAAATAAATCAGGTAGTGGTACTTGCCTACAATTCTAACACTCAGGAGGTAGATTCAGGATGATCAGAAGTTCAAGGTAATCCTCAACTACATGGGAAGTTTGAGGTCAGCCTGTCTCAAAACAAAAGTCTTGTAGCACTTTCACATATTCAGAGACTTTGCCTCTTGGTTGATTTTGTTGTTAGCATTGTATGTGAGGGGGTCCCCTCTCTTGCAGTTCAACTCTTAGCTCACCTTTAGTCAAGAATAGTTGTGATTTGAATGAGAGTGTCCCCCATAGTCTCAGATATCTGAATACTTGGTCCCAGTTGGTGGCTGTTTGTGCAAGTTTAAGAAGAGGTGTTATCTCATGGAGGAGGCATGTCCCTGCAGGTGGGCTTTCAGATTTCAAAGCCGCCATTCTCCATTCTCCTTGCAGTCTCCAGCTGTGATGCCTGCTGCTTACTGCCATGCTTCCCCATCATAACTGACTCATACGCCTCTGAAACCATAAGCCACGCAAACTCTTCCTTCTGTAAGTTGCTTTAGTTAATTAGCACAGCAACAGAAAAATATTCTAAGACATGGATTAGAATAGTTTTCTAGTAAAATAAGTAATGTGCCTCCCCTTACTCTGACACTGCTTAAATATTAGTATCAGTTGTATAAGATAGATTTGTTCGTCCACTAAAGCAGCTTCCTCTCTTTACATTGCTTTGGGTTTTTGTTTGTTTTTGTTTTGTTTTGTTTTGTTTTTGTTCAAATGCAGTTGAATAACCAAAGATCTTCTGGGTCATCCATAATTATCCTTGGGTAAAAATTGCTCTACACATCTAAAGATTAGATCAGCTCACCTCCTACATACTTGACTTTGTGTTTAGTGACTAGCAAGATGGACTTACTAGTTGGAATGTCATCTTAGGCTGGTCATTCTAATACAACTTGGGCTATCAGCAGTTTTCACAAGCCTAAGCTGACATAAAAGGACTTTCTTCCTAACGACTGTGTGTGTGTGTGTGTGTGTGTGTGTGTGTGTGTGTGTGTGTGTGTGTAAAACAAAACAGCCCAAGGGGCTGAAGAGATGCCTCAGTGGTTAAGAGCACTGACTGCTTTCACAGGAGACCTTTTGGTCCCCAGCACACACATGAGTCAGTTGATAACCACCCTGGAGAGCTGATGCCCTCTCCTGGCCTCCATGGGCACTATACACACGTGCATACTGACAGGCACACTCATTTACATAAATAAAAATATTTTTTAAGTCCAATAATATTGAACATGTTAAGTGTCCCCCCCCCCCCCCGTAACCCACCTTCCTTGAGAACCACTGTTAATAGCTTTTTGGGTATTCTTTTTTTCATTTTAAAAGAATTTATTTTTAAATAGTTATTCATAGTTTCTTACATATACACGATATCTTGAGCCTACCCACTCCTAACTCCTCCCACTTTCCCATGTGCCCCTCCCACCTTCACATCTTCATAAATTTTTCTTCTAGTCCATTTCAAGTCCAGTCGCTGCTGCCTGCATCACAAGGGCAACCTACCAGCAATCACACCC